AATTCGGAACACGCGCGTGCAGTGGTTGCTCGTTTAAGAGAAGCGTACAGCAGCACAAGTGTCTCGCCTAAACCTTGGTTACTAGATGAACATCAGTCTTTCGCCTCTTGGGTGCCAAGCAGCATTTTCGAGGACGGTTTTGGGCTAAGGTCAGCTGTCGCCGTGGCCTATTGGGCTTACTACTTGGAAAAGAGAACTGCAATGTCACCGGCGCTAAGATTGCGGTATCTCGCCGTACTTAGTCGTTGGTATCCGGCACAAGCTTGGGTGCACGCGTGGGAAGAGTGCTGGCCGTCTACAAGAGACCCAAGCCGCATGAGACTGCTAAGGCGTCTCGTTTACACCATATCGTGTTCGCTTGACAGATATCAGTGGGATGCGGACGGATTTGTTATGCGAAGTGCCATGGCTCGGCGGATGATATGGGATATGCAAAGAATCGCTGACCACCTCGTAGACGAAGACGAGACGTCGCGGGAGACTCAGCTGAGAAATTGGACTAACACGATTGTGCAGCAGGCGGCTGAGATCCGTCACGAACGCTACCTCCAAGTATATCGTGAACGCCGAGTCCGTGTGGTTTCCGCTTATTTCTCAAAATTATTGTGTTGGCAAGTACGTTCGGAAGATGAAGCTCGCTTCCCAGTGGGTGAAGATTACGAGTTCGTTCGACTGCCCAGCTTCCGTCGGTGGGTGAGGGTGGAGGAACAGCTCGTCTGTCATTTGGTAGACCTGCTCATCGACCAGCATGTTGCCGACTGTCGTCAGATGGGAAGTCCTCAGACGCGAGAAGATGTTATCTGCAGTCTACGTCGGGAAGAGCGGTTCCGTTTTTCAGCCTCGGAAGAGACCTTCAACCAGCTGTACGATAGGTCTGTACGGGAGACAGCAGCCCGGGTGGCAGCTGAAGAGGCGTACGAGTACGCGTGGAAGGCGAGTTGTAACGCAATCACGCTGGTAAGCGACGTGGCTGCAGCAATTGATGAACCGCTTCTTGTGCCGCCTTCGCCGAGTGTCCCAACCCAGTGGGGGCGTTTCACCGCACGGCCTTTAGATCCAGAGGACTTGATCTGTTCAGCGCCATTTGACGTCCTGCTCACTTCTGAAGACCGAGAAAGGCTACGGAGAACCTTAAGTGATGCGCTCCGGAGTCGTGAAGCCGAGGCGGCAAAGTTGGAGGAACAGGAAGCTTCCCAGCTCTTGTTAAGTCTGGAAGCCATTGTCTGTGGGTGGATTTCATTTTACTTGCGGGAAGATCTTTAACCTGGGGCTTATCTCCCTCCAGACGGACGGACTCGAACCTGGGGTTATCCGATTCCAGGAGGTGAGTGCGGGCGGCTTGTTTACGTCCGGCTGGCATCGCTGCACCAAGTAATGCGCTTCCGGATACACAAAACCGAACGACTGCGCGTACCCGGCTGTGTATCGGGCTGCAGTGTACCAAGCTGCCTCGTTATGCCGGCTGGGTTATGCGGACTGGTTCTTCTATCCACTCTCTGGTTAAGTATCTATCCACCTAGTTTTTCACTTGATAGGGCGGTGGTCCAAAAAAAAACTTATGCGGTGTTTTACGGGTCGGTCGGCTGGTTTCTCGCAGGGCTTCGCCACAGTACTGGCACTTCCCTGTGGGACAAGATACCGGGTTCGATCACAACCGACCTGGCCAGCATGCCCTGCGTGGGCCTTTGTGGCTGGAGGAGCAACTCGCCCGTCGGTTGACCCGGATGCTCATCGATGAACATGCCATCGAAACGTGCACAACATATACTGACATCGTGCGCTCTGTGCTCGAGAAAAAGTCATTCAAATTTTCCGTCTCCAAAGACAGGTTCCGTCACCTCTACGATAAGGCTCTAGATGAGATACTCGGCCGAGTCGTAACTGACGAGGTGTATGACTACGTTTGGAGAGTCACTGTGGTGCAATCGTAAGGCTATACGAGATGTCTGCAACTGTTGTAAGTTGTATCTCCGATGCCTCAACCCGGCCTTTATCCGGTTAAGGTGTCTTCCCACCCCTCAAGCGGTCTTGATCCGTGGAGCAACCTTACATTGTGCTTAAAACTTGAGACCCATGAATTCATTACTTCCAAACCGCCCATATCCGTTTCCAAACAAAGCCACTGCCCTGGCCACCGAGGTTCAAATCCGTTGGCCAACAGGAACGGGGACTCACCAGTAGCTGCATGATTGAAGCGAGGGCAACACTCACCTCACTAGCATCCGTGAAAAGGTAGTACTTGGATCGCATGATAAGCTAAGCCATCCGCTGTTAGCACCGGCACCCAAGATGACCTGGAAAAAAATGCACATAGTTTATCGGTCGAGCCCCTTTGACGCTCCAGCGTGGCGTTGGCAATGTTGGACATTCTCGGAACGCAACCGGGACAGTGGGCTCGGAGGTTATTCTTGCAAGGATTGGCTAAGGACGGTGTGACTCAGGCACTCGAAAATAGTCTTCGGGATCGCGATAATCAGCGAATTCTTGAACGGTTTGAAATGCAGCTGATTCCCGGTNAAGACCCCTCGCC